CGGGACATGTGAATAAATAACCATCCGTACTAGTTGACCTTGCTTACGTGATCATCTCGGCGAGCATTTCTCCACCGGACAGTACCGTACTTGGCCACGGAAGAGCTCCGATTCTACGAGGAAGGGAACACGATCTTCCACGACCGTTGCCGCTCTCCCTCGTAGAATCAAAGCTCCTCCTTGACGTCCATTACCGCTCGGCAGAGAACATGCTCGCCGATATGAACACGGTCCGCAAGTTCAACTAGCTACTTTAACCTTCTTTCATGTAAATATGCAAGCTTGAAGTGATTTTGAGCTCAAATTGCTTACAAATGAAAAAAATCACAATAAAGAACCATATATATATAGTGAACAAAATGAGATAAGACAATGGTGAAAAATGGGAGTATGAGATTGGTAACCTTTACAACTTAAGAATCGACAGAGAAATCGACGGAAGAATCGAAGAATGGATGGAGGAACAATGGAAGGAGGGAGGAAGCAAGAACACTAGTGCAATGAGCTTCAAAATGTGCTGAGCTCGGGCTCGGGGACAAAGAAGGAGACGGCCGGGATATAAAGGAGGAACCTTTAGTCCCAGTTGGTGGCTCCAACCGGGACTAAAGGTCCCTGTCACCTCTGCCTAGCGCAGTAGCCGTTGGGCAGGGACCTTTAGTCCCGGTTGGAGCCACCAACCGGGACTAAAGGTATCTCTAGTCCTGGACGCAAAAAATGCCGGGACTAGAGCCCATTTTGGACGAGGATCAAAGATCTTTTCTCTACTAGTGAGCTATCTTATGATGGACCGTGTAAGTGGGCTAGTTAGCACGAGATACAACCCAAGCGCGAAGACCACCAATAGGATCACCTAAGGGCGTGCTTGTGACGGCTCCACGAACTCTGCTCCACAAACTCCATCTTGGAGAAGCTCCACAAAAAACCTGGAGTTTGTGAAGTACTTCTTTAGGTGCTCTCATAACTCCACCTTTTTTCTCGAGCAAAGTGTGTGGAGTTAAACCTATTTTGCTAAAAAATATGGAGCGGAGCTGAAAAATGAGAAGCGGAGTAGTCTCAACCACCCCATAAAACTGCTTATGTGCTACCCTCTTAAGTGAGAACAAAACTCCTATTGGGATAAAATAATACTACATCCGGTTAAAAATAATTATGATTTAGCCCTGTTCCAAGTCAAATATTTTTTTTACCATCAATTTCTACAGATTCATATAGTTTAACATGTGTATTAGGTACTATGAAAGTATTTCTCACGGTGAATCTAAAAGTGTAGATCTTATGATTTTTTATCATACTTGTAGCCTACTAACAAATTAATAAGCACTTGCTTGTCGTGGCTTCGTGCTTTGGTCTTTTAACAGTATATCTTTTACTAACAAATATTGTGTTTTGTTTAAAATCAGTGTGTCTTGAATGTGAGAGCAACTTAACAATACTACTGGCCGGTTGTGATTTGTGAGCTCATCAAGTGGGGTATTTGGAGCTCGCTCCACTATATATACCCGTACCAGGTGGGTTGAGATGCTTCATCCTCGTCCATCGATCAACAGGCAGGCCGCAGGCTTCCTTGCCTTCTCTTAGTCACTAGTCTCAGTGTGCCTCAGTCGTTAGTCGCGAGCGAGCTGAGATGGATCCTTGCCATCAATCCATAGAGACCGCAGGCGCGAAGAAGGACTACAGTGACCCTCCCCCGGCACCATTCGTGAACGCCGGCGAGCTGGGCAAGTGGTCCCTCTACCGCGCCGTCATCGCCGAGTTCGTCGCCACGCTGCTCTTCGTGTACGTCACGCTGGCCACCGTCATCGGGCACAAGCGCCAGGCCGAGTCCCAGCCGTGCGGCAGCGTCGGCGTGCTGGGCATCGCGTGGTCCTTCGGCGGCATGATCTTCGTGCTCGTCTACTGCACCGCCGGCATCTCCGGCGGGCACATCAACCCGGCGGTCACCTTCGGCCTGCTGCTGGCGCGCAAGGTGTCGCTGGTGCGCGCCGCGCTCTACGTGGTGGCGCAGTGCCTGGGCGCCATGTGTGGCGCCGGCCTCGTCCGGGCCTTCCACGGCGCCCATTGGTACCTTCGCTACGGCGGCGGCGCCAACGAGCTCTCTGCCGGCTACTCCAAGGGAGCCGGTCTGGCCGCCGAGATCGTGGGCACCTTCGTCCTCGTCTACACCGTGTTCTCGGCCACCGACCCCAAGCGCAAGGTCAGGGATTCGCACGTCCCGGTCCTGGCGCCGCTGCCCATCGGATTCGCGGTGTTCATGGTGCACCTGGCCACCATCCCCGTCACCGGCACGGGCATCAACCCGGCAAGGAGCCTGGGGCCGGCCGTTGTGTACAACCAGCGGAAGGCGTGGGAGGATCAGTGGATATTCTGGGTCGGCCCGCTCATCGGCGCCACCGCCGCCATGCTCTACCACCAGTTGGTCCTCCGCAACGGCGCAGCCAAGGCCTTCGCATCCTTTCGCAACAACCACCACATCTGAATCTGATCCATATCTTATCGGTCGACCACCCGTCGGCACGATGATACAGAATTCCAGTTCTACGCGTGCATGCATTCCGTGTCTCCAGCGTTTGGATATGATTGTGTGTCCATTCCAAGCTTCAGCTCGTTCATCAGCTACCTGTTTATTGTGGACCGTACCACTACTTTCTATATTGCTACCCCTATGTACTGATTTAGGTCCAGTGCAAACACTTTCCATATTTGTATAATTCATCTCATGTCAAATCGTCTAAGGTTGTTTGTTTATATATTCATATATAATAATACTCCTTCGCATATATATAGAAAAAAATGCCGTTTCATCATATATATTACTTGTTTCATCATCGTAGCACAAACATTTTACAAACAAAACTAAACAAAGCCATATACAAGATTTCTTGTGTCTTTGTACAATCCTGACTTGATTAAGCTCTAGCTAGCTCTAAAATCGATCCAACATTTTGTAATCCTTTCTGATCCATATATAGGTTCTTCCACGCTCCAAGGCCTCTAAACTTGCCCTCCATGTCTAGCTCGATATGATAACGTTCCATAAGTACATGCCATTTCGAAGAACAACTTCATGCATGATGAAGTGGATAGGTCATTACAAATCTTGTTATGCGTGCTTCGTAAAAAGGGCATAGGGTGTCCTTGCACATGAATTTTTATTTTGACTCTTGGAGGCTCTGGCTGAATATCCTTGACAATCTAATGAACAAACTTGCAATTGTAGGATCCACATAGGTGAACTATAAATTCATACTTGGATAGATAAAGAATGTAATTCAGTGTCCGCTGCACGCGTATTATGTATTTAATATATTATTATATCTACATAATATTAAAAAGGCAATCCTGTGGGCTGGTCGAACTAGATTACTTGAAGCAGGAGCAATTTCGTATTCCCTTTCTTGGTATACCACCATATATACAACGGTAGATGTACGTTGTAACCTCTCATTTCAATTTGTTGTGAAACGTCTTTTCGGAATTCCACCCTCTCTTCTTTGTTCATACTCACAAGGTCTTTGTGGTCTCGTGTGAAGTGGGTGCCCCATGTGGCATACCTTGTTAATTTTCAGAGAATTGATGTACCCGAACGGGGCATGTATACACATATGTTATAACTTACATCCAAAACACGATGATTTGAGAGAAGTCCAGGTCCTTGCGTAGCAACAATCTGAGCATGTCTGAGAATTCTACAATGATATTTTGATCGCCACTATTGAATGTCTGATTCGAGACGTGTACAAAGAAGGAGAGGAGCCCTACTTTTGCTACCATTATGTACGAACCATGGAACTTACAGCGTGTTTGGATTGCATCATGCATAGACTCTAGAGGCATCCGAACTTGTATCCGAACCTACCAACTCGTTTGGATTGAGGAGTGAAGCGGTGTCATATGGCACCAAATGATTCTGTGTAGGTAATTCAGAGAACCAACACTCGTCCGCAGTCACCCTGACCAGAACCACCTGAGACCTGACTACGCAAACCAAACAGATCGTTAATTTCTAACTTCGCATGACCCCTCTATGAGCTTGCAGAATAGTAACATGAACTTTGTCATGCATGCGCGTACTCCTGCAAGCAATCATTAGTAGGGTTGAAGTCGGGCGGTGGTATTGCTCTCTTGCAATCTTGCTTTTAGATGTGCTGTTTAGAAACTTGGCTAAAATGTCGTCAGGTATAGTAATAGTCTTCTTGTAAGAACCGTACATAGCATAAATCCAAGCTTTTATACCTGTCGACGTGCTTCATGATGGCTAATTTCATTTTCTTCCTATCGGCTCGGCGCTCTTCTAGAGCTACCACAAGATTGTTGGTTCGTGGGGGATAGCTAGCCTAGCCGGATGCAAAACCACACCACGTACACGTGCCCCCCGTCCTAAAATATAAGGTATCCAAATAATTTTAGGACATTTTACGTGGTAAGACAAATGACGCATATAATCCTCATTGATTATTGTATTTGGGTTGATGATATATATTAATGGTAGGTATGCATGTGAATCAGTGATTTATTTGAAGAAGCTTTTGCATATGTTCTATATATTTTTGTTTCATTCATTTTTTTTGAACCATTAGAGCATCTCCAAGAGCACTTTATAACAACAATTCCTATTTTTTTTAAAAAGAAAAAAACAACCCTCTAATAGTTTTGTTTTTAAATTCACTAAAAGCATTTGGGAAATATCTGCCTCAGCTTACAAATATATACATGTGTTTGACACTTGCTATATGTCCGGGTGTCCCTCTACTGTCTACTGTGGTTTCCACTCCTCGTCTGATTTTTTAGAAAAGAAGCTAACTATTTTCAACTATGGACAAAGATAAAAATAGAGTTTCATATTTATTTTATCCTTTGGCACAATGATTAATTTAGGGCGAGTTTGGCAGCGCTCTCATCCCGCTTCTGCTCCCTTTAGCTCCTTCCGGCTCCCGGCACTATTTGGTAGCGCTCCCTCGACGGCTCCCGCTCCCAACTTGCTAGAGGAAGGGGGAAGCAAGATGTGGCGCAAGCAAGGAGGAGGCAAGCTCGGCAAGTCCGGCGGCCTCAATCTCGGTGACGGTGGGCTGGATCTCGGCGAACTCGGCAATAGTGAGCTCGACGGCGGCGGGCTAGATCTAGGCGAGCTGTCGATGGAGACTCACTGGAGATGAGCTATTGGCGGAGAGGGGCGCGACGATGGGCGTCGGACGTGAGAGAGACGGAGGCGGAGAGGGGCGCGACGGACTGAGAGAGGCGAGGGAGCGGTGGGGAGCGTTTTTTTTCGCTCCCCACCCCAGCGCAAAAATGAGGGAGCGATTCGCAGTAGAGGCGTTTGGCAGCACTCCGCTGATTCTCATGGGGAGCGGAGCTACGGGAGCGCTGCCAAAGGAGTCCTTAGAGCAAGTATAATACCATGTTATGAGCAGGCTGAATGCTGTGGTGGAGAAGAGAGGAGAGGAGAGAGAGTTATAAGCTTACAGCCGATTTAGATGGTTTAGATATAACAATGAAAAAACTCTATAAGAGAGACGAGAGAGGCATCGCAAGTTGCAAGTGGCAACTAGCCAACTATGCCTAGCTAGAACTTTGCCTGCAAGCCAAAACCAGCAGCCCCAAAAGCATGAGAAAATGGGAATTTTGCCCTTACGAGGAGTGGGCTTCGCTAGAATGTCCTTAAGTTTGTGGGCTTCGCCATAATGTCCTTTATGAAAGGTGTGTTTCACGCTATTTTGTCATTTCGTGTTTTTTCCAACTTTGTAAATTTCTGACCCCATCTTTTTGACCGGGCGTGACCGTTTTACCCCTGTCTCCTTCTACCTTGTCCTCTTGCTCTGCTTCTCATGGTCACGGCAATTTCTCCTTTCTCTCCCATTCTCTCTCCGTCTCAACTGGTGCTCAGGGAGATGGCCAGGCATTGCCATTGTCATTGCTGCTCGCTCCAGCTCTGCTGATGTGCCGTATGTCCAACAGCGCCCTGTTCTCACCAGGCGTCATTGCCCCGGCCAAAGTCTGCGCCGAATGCGCAAATGCGTACACTACGAAAAATGAATTCAAGGGATCAGAGGCATAATCAAAGTGATACCGTACGAAGACCAAGCAAGCTCAGGGAGGAACAAATGGAGCAAAGCATGTATTTACAGAAGCACTATCCATTCACAGATGTACGAATACACTAAACTAATATGGAGATGGGGATGGGGATTAATGGGGAGAATCACGTGTACCATCGGAAACAAGAAGCAAATTTGGGGGAAAGAACAACATCTTTTGCAAATCCAAGGCACAGAGGTGTTCCCGTTGCAAGAAAACGAATGGATAAACTAATATGGAGATGGAGATGGGGATTAATGGGGAGAATCACGTGTACCATCGTAAACAAAGAAGTAGATTTGGGGAAAAGAACAACATCTTTTACAAATCCAAGGCACAGAGGTGTTTCCGTTGCAAGAAAACGAATGGATCTATATTCATCTGTGCATCAGTACGTAATAAATGGAGAGATGGGGATGGAGGGAAACACCTGAATCCCTCAAACTGCAGTACAAATGAGAGGAGGGAAATAGAGGAGACTGCAATGGGACCAACACAGAGGAGAGGAATGACCTTGCTTCACCTGGGAGACGCCACGAATGGAGCAGGGGGCACCACTGTGCACGGACAGAGGGGACTGCAGGGGATGGCCGATGACGGAGAGGCGAAACCTGAGATCGGCGCCGCCGCCGCGCTGGGGGCCCACCGTTGCCGCGGACGTGGACGCGGCGGTGGCCTGGCGCAGACGGTCGGCGCAAGGACGCCTGGTGACGCGTGGCCTGTCGACGGCAGCCTGGCGCGGACGGGCGGTGGTGGCCGGCGTCGGGCTCCCGCTCGAACACTGGTCGAGACGGAGAGAGAATAGGAGAGAAATAGAAATTGCCGTGACCATGAGAAGCAAAACAAGAGGATAAGATAGAAGGAGATAGGGGTAAAATGGTCATGCCTGGTAAAAAAAAAGATAGGGTCACGAATTTACAAAGTTGAAAAAAACACGAAATAACAAAATAGCGTAAAATACATCTTTCATAAAAGGTATTCTGACGAAGCCCACGAATTTAAGGAGATTCTGGCGAAACCCACCTGCCTTATAGGGCAAAATTCCCATTTTCTCCGAAAGCGCTCCCGCTGGAGTATAGACCCAGTCCATCCGCACGCACGTGCGACGCGCCCTCCGAATCTCCCGCCTCCGGCGAGCAAGATGCCCCCTCCCCCACCCCCACCGTCCGCATCGCTGACGGTGGAAGCACCGCCTCAGTCCCACTGTCGCACGTGACCGCTGTTACACTCGCTCTTTCCGCTCCGCGGGGCTCCGCCCGGTGGCCATTCCGCTCCCCGATGGCGCCGTCGTACACCTCTGGCTCCCGCCACCTGCCGCCGACCCCGCCAGGCCCCTACACCCTGTCCTGCTCCTCCACGGCTTCGGCGCACAAGCCACCTGGCAGTGGGCGCCCTTCCTCCGCCCGCTCCTCGCCGCCGGTCTGGCCCCCTATGTCCCGGACCTCGTCTTCTTCGGCGCCTCGTCCTCCCCCGCCGCAGACCGCTCCCCAGTCTACCAGGCTGCCTGCGTCGCCGCCGCTATGGCTGCGCTCCCTGGCGCCCCGCAGCGGTACGCCGTTGTCGGGGTCAGTTACGGCGGCTTCGTAGCATACCACCTCGCCCACGCGTTCCCGGCAGCAGTGGAGCGGCTTGTACTCGTCGCGGCCGGTGTTTGCCTCGAGGAGGCCGACCTGGCCGCGGGGCTCTTCGCCGTTGAGGATATCGCCGAGGCTGCAAGTCTGTTGCTGCCCCAGCGGCCGGAGGATCTCCGGAGGTTGGTGGGGCTCACCTTCTGCCGCCCTCCGTGGTTCATGCCGTCCTGCTTCATCAGGGATTACATCAGGGTAGGTAAATGCAGGGACTTGCCAACTAATTTCACCTGCAATTTCTTGGCCGAGATGTTTCGTGGTTGATAATGAACAATTAATTGTTGTATACTGTACTACTTAGGGTTGGTGCTTCGGTGCTAAAGGTAAAAACCATGGATTTGATCCACAATTGCTACCTATATTGATCCATTCTTGCATTGGAGGTGTTGTTAGTTCGAAGCCTCTTTGGATCAGCTAGGACTATGAATGTTTGGATCTAGGCTAAAAGGTGCATATATCTTTAGCAATGAACTCTTAGCCCTTGTTAGTTAGTTGTACTTGGCTAATGAACTGACAACTATCCAAGGGCTTGGCTAAAAGTTAGCGCAAACCATTAGCCCTCGTGTTTGGATGGACTAGAGCTATTTTTTAGCTTCTATTGTTTGCCCACAGAATCCAAACAGGCCCTTAGTTGTTACAACGTTCCAACAACTTGTTTGTGATCTCATATCCAGTGCTGAATCCACTACTTTATAACCCCCTGTTATCCTAATCCCATTCCTAGAGCCCAATTAACGATATGACAATCAAATCAATGGAGATTTAGGATCTGTTTAGTTGATCTAAATAATCTTCCCCTCTTCATAACTCAACGCTTAAGATTTTTCCAGTTATATTATTAGTGCACTAGGGTGTACTGATAGTATAAACAATTTCTTTATCGTTCGTTTGATAAGGTTGATAGGCCATTGTCAGTGATAGATTTATGCCTAAGGCATTCATTAGTTAGTATATAGAAAAAGAGGAATACCATGGAGGCATTTAATCGTTAGTATCACTTGAGGTGAACATCTCAATTGGTCAACATCTTTTTTTTTCCGAACAGGCAGGAGGGCTGCGTATCATTGTATTAGTAGAAGAAAAGGAGTCATACATAGACCCAAACACACACACCCACACCTCCGCACCTTATCCTTGGCACCTGGAGCATTTGGAAACACCGGAATGACTGTCTTCAATTGGTCAACATTGTAAAACTGCTGGAGAATGTTTTCAATTTGATTAGTTGCAGATTGATGAAATTGGTAATGCTGCTTCAAGTTGTTCAAACAAATAAGTTGTTCTAGCAAATGTATTGGATTGTGATGGATTATTATTCCTCGTAAAATTTGTGCAACCAGCTCACCTCGTCTTGCTCGGCAAGGCTAGGCTTGCCACCTGTGGTGAGCGGTTTTGGCTTGCTTGTGTTGGCAATGGAAATTTTGGAAAGCGCAAGAAACGAGACAGCAAGCAAGTCAACCAAACAGTGTGTCTCCTGCCCAGCCAAGGAAAGCAAGGCAGAGCAAGTTATCCAAAAGTGCCCTTAAACACTGACCAGTTTGCTTGAACCTACAGTGGCATGAAGCTAATTTATTATACTTAATGACCCACATGTATGGATGAGTTAAAAACAAAATCTAATCTTCATAGAATTAGGGACCTATAAGTTCCTCATGCTTTCCAAAGTCATTTTCACAGCTTGACGTTTGCTTTATTTTAGAGGCAACGCCTCCCCCGTTTTATTTACCCTAAAGAAAATGACAAGCATTCAACATTACAAGTTCAAGTGTATTCTAGGCATGCTTGCCAATGCAACTTGATATTTATGTGCTCAGAAACAGTATATGCCTATTTTATATTAGAACATCACTACAATATCCATCCTTTTTTTTTGTCTTGTGGCATCATCATTGCATCTACTGTTGTTACAAAGTTAATGATGTCAGATTTTGTGATTAATTACATTCATGCCATTATAGATTTCACAGTTTTGAAATATTCCACTAGAGTTTGTGATATTGTAACCAGAGCAAGTGTCATGTTAACAAGAATATATCCACACACGTGCACAAACTCAATCTTATATTCTCATCCCATGGATCCACTTTGCCTGGCCTAAGTGAGAGGCGGGAATCCCTAGTGCCCTTTGTTCAGTTTTTAATTTGACCAAATCCAATTGGGCCTAAGCTCAAGAGAGGTGAGTAGGTTCACACCTCTCGGGCTAGTCAGATTGGATCCAAGGATGATATGCGCCTATGCCTATGTATCTAATATTTCCTCTTGTAACCATGCCACTATAAAGTTATCGGATTTGGAAGTATGCCATTACAATAGTCATGATATTGGAACCGTGCCATCAAATTTTCTTGGATTACAATGGCATGAGTCTAATTAACCTAAAAATTTCCAAACATTATGGATTGTAATATACTTTTTGCATGGAGAAAGTAATATTTGAATTCAATCCGCCCAACTGTGTCTGTACTGAACAGCTTGAGGGAAAATTGGGTAGATTTGTACATTTTCTTGTGTGCTATTGACATAGTAAGTGGTTGCTCAATCTTGTTAAATTCGCATAAGATTTACTCAATATTTTCTTTGTGTTGTGTTGTATTGCAGGTTATGTGCACTGAAAATGTAAAAGAGAAGACAGAGTTGTTGTATGCATTGATCAATGGTAGGAAGCTTTCAGACCTTCCTAAAATTAACCAGGTAATGATTTGCTTTTTTTTTTGGGTGCATAAGCACTTGACCTTGATGAGACCATACTAGTTCTCGGGCCAAAGCTTCTGCCTTTTTGACCCTTAAAGAATATAATTGTAGCATATTTCATTGATTTGTCAGCAAACCTTGATAATTTGGGGAGAGCAAGACCGAGTCTTTCCATTGGAAATTGGATTACGGCTGAAAAGGTTTGTCTATTTATATGTGTCATCAAATTCAAGTCTTTATTGTAATTCATTAAGCTTTGCTCTGTTCAGAAGGAAACAAAACAAATCTTCTAAGCTTTTGTATATAAAGAAATCTCAGGCATTTGGGAGATACTTCCGAACTAGTGATTGTCAAGAATGCCGGTCATGCCATAAACCGTGAAAAGCCAGCAGAACTTTGCAGACTAATAAAGAACTACATCGTTGATCCCTCAGTCAAGTATCGAGATGACCGTAAGGTACACAACTGAACGGTATTATCATGGGATTCTTGAAACCCTTTAACAGGAAGAGTTGCACTTGCCTGAGATTTTTTTTTAAAGAATCCCATATGTCACATTATTTTTCTCTTGAGGCAATATATCAGATTATTTTTACTTCACTTGTGACAAACTTTGCTTTCCCTTTGCAGGGATCTTGGAAGAATGCGATAAAGAGGTTTGTTGGGTCGAGCCTGAGAAAGGTGGACTCTTCTCGACCGATGCTATAGCAAATTGACGTACATATATTGACTTTTACGCGCAACAGGTAGTTATCTGTTTGTGACACGCAATTGACGAATGACGATGTGTAACGCCCACCGACCACTATTATTATATGTATACGACCAAGCTGAGTTATACATTGTACAATCGGCCTGTATGTATCTTTGTCGATTTGGCCTGGCCTATTATGGGCTTATTGTATCCGGCCCAATCTGTTGGCATAAATGATTTCATCTTGTTCGTTTGCACTGAACCGGCTGCGCTAAGCAAAGACTAGACATCGGATTGTATATTTTTAATTTATTACAAAAAATAGAAATTTGGAGACGCTGGCGGTTGATTGGTTTTTAGCTATTGGCTTTTACCATTGTCAGAAGTCAACAGATTTCGTAAACTATGCTCCAGTGCATTCTCAACCTATATATGGCGATTCTCAACCGCTGGCCAATACACTGCCCACTCAACTTATAAGAGTTTATTTCAGGGTTCAGTTACCGTAACCCTTGGGCAATTGTTCGGAAATCTTGGGCTCCCGGGTAGTGCAAGATTTTTATGTGGCTGGTTGCTCATGACAAGTCACAAGTGCTACACTACACAGCTGATCGACTTGCACGGCGAGGCCTCCTTCATCTAGAGCGCTGTAGTCTCTGCGATCAGACAATGGAAACTGTCAATCGCTTACTCACCTCATGTGTTTTTGCTCAGTATTTCTGGTTCCATTTGTTCCAAAAATTTGTGCCTCAAACTCTCTCCCCACAGCTTGAATATGTTTCCTTTACTGATTGGTGGGCTCGGGCTGAAGCAAGAATGAATGGTCGGGCAAAGAAAGGACTTAATTCCATAATTATCTTGAGAGCCTGAACGTTTTGGAAGCACTGTAATCGTTGTGACTTCGATGGAGATCTCACCTGATCTAGTCGGGGCCTTACAGGCTGACGAAAGAGAGGAGCTTCTGGCAGGGGACAAGGGCTTTTCCTTTCTTGTTGCCCTTTGTGCCGGATGGTAATTATTAGGCTCAGCACCCTCCTATAGATAGAGTTTCTATAATCTTTTTTTTTCTTATATGCAAGCATGTAAATCGTAATGAGATCATTTAGGCATCGTTTGGATGCATGTGTATTTACTTCAATCCATATATGTTAAGTGGAACGAAATGAATCTTAGTTTAATTTCACTCCAATCCATTTCAACACATATGTATTGACTTGAATACATGCGCATTCAAAGGCCTGGTGCGTCGCTGGGATTCTTATCCGCGTATTAATGTCTGTATCTTGATTTCGGACCTCTGATCCTGAAGCGGGAATAATGGCTACTCTCTGAACATTCAGAAGCCGATCGATCGAAGGGAATAAACCTAATTTTTGCACGTAACCGAGGACGTAAAGAAGCTATAAGCCAGAAGCCGTACTGCCAAGAAGTAATTCCACGCACAGGTGGAAAGTGGGTCTATATATGCATTCTGTATGCATCGTCCACGTCAATCTGCAATTGATAATAATACTCTGATCAAATTGATGTGCACTGGAGCAAGCAGGTGGTATTTAGCCCGGTTTCGTGATTTCATCTTCGTCCATTTGAGCTGCACTTGCACCTTAATCCCACAAACAAATTGTCAACCTCACCAGAAATTAAACTAGCTTCTTTAGAAAAAGGACCACCTCTACTTTATAAAAGCATATAAATAGTTATAATAAGAATGTTTTGTTTCAAAAACCTTTGAATTTGTTGACTCGCATTGCACAGACGAGGATAAGACTTGCCACTTACACCTTTCTCCAGACCACGCATAGAGCGGGAGCTCTTTGCACTGGGTACGTTTTTTTTTTAAGGTACCGGTTCAGCTGATGAATCCTCCGTTACGCCTCCCTTTACCCGTTGCCAACTTGTCATTGCGTGGCAGGCTTTTCCCCTAAAAAAATATTTACTTTTTGAGAATTAAAAAATATTTACCGTTTATCTAAGGAAGCAACTTGTTATATCTTTGTGTTCACTTAAACCCTGGACCAGATGAACCTGGCTGATAATACGCTAGTATGAAAGAATGTTTTGTTCCTGACTGATTGACATCATGTAATTGACATGAATCAACTAACCTAATCCAGTCGCAATTTCTCACGTCTTTAGAGACAATGAAAAGGCATCGCACTGTATCATACACGTTGGTCACGATTAATTATATAGGTCAACCTAATCATTCCATGGCCGTTGTAAATTAATCTGGATACATCTGCTGACTGAATGCATTTGTTTCTCCACACATGAATTGATAACACATCTTTATAAAATGAACCATATACTAAGGCGAACCATTAGCCGAGGACAAATCACACAAGAAAGGAAAACAAAGATTACACTGCTAGTAGAGAACAGACTTTCGGTTTGATCGTTTTTTGGCTTTAGTCCCAGTCATATTTAGGCCCAAGACTAAAGAGATGATTAGTCCTGGTTGGAGCCACCAACCAGGACTAAAGTTCCCTGTCCAATGGCCAGAGCCGTAGGTTTTTGCAGGAGGGGACCTCTAGTCCTGATTGGTGCCCCAAACCGGGACTAAAGGTCATCCTCTAGTCCCGGTTCAAGCTGCTAGCCGTGATTAAATCTTTAATCTCGGTTTGAGGCTCCAACTGGGACTAGAATTTCACCTGTAGTCCGGGTTTGAACCACAAATCGGGACTAGAGGTCATGGGCTATATACTTTCCCTTTTTCCTCCCCCAGCCTGAGCCATTTCAAGCTCTCGTCTCCGGCTCTATTCTTGCTCATCTCCGGCCATTTCAAGACTTCATTCGATTCCTGCATCCATTCTTTGATTCTAAAGGTTAGCAACTTCGTCCTCTTATGTTTCATCACTAGCATGGCTCATTTGGTGGTCTAGAAATAGAGAAATTCGTGGTTTTTTACATTGGGAATAATGATGGATTTTTTGATTTATATACCATTTGAGCTCGAAATCACTTGATAGTTTGAATATGAAGATGAAGGAAGCTTACAGTAGTTCATCAAAACTAGTATGCAACTTTCGTTGCCTTATTTCATGGTTTAGAAATAGAGAAATTTAAGGTTTTTTACATTAGAAAAAATGGTGGATTTTTTTTATTTAAACACCATCTGAGCTCAAACTCACTTGATAGTTTGCAAATGTAGAAGAAGAAAGCTTAAAGTAGTTGATCAAAATTAAACGAGTGTGCACCTTTCTTTCTAATGTACAGCTCATTAAATTTCATGGTTCACAAAATGAGAAATTTATAGTAGTTGATGAAAATGAGTATAGAGAGTAATAGACGATGACCGCTTCCGGGTCCTCGGCCTCGCATGGGGTACCTAATCGACTGAGGCCGGACCTCCCTCTTATTGCGTGCGGCAAGTGTGAGTAGAAGACTGTGTTGGAGTACATGGTGAAGAAGAAGGGTCACAACTAAGGGCGCATCTTCTACACGTGTCCGGATCGCAATATGAGTTATTTTGTCTTGTCTTGTTTTGTTATGATTTGTAGCCATTTTTGTGATGATTTTGATTAAGGTTCTTGATTTGGTGTTGCAATTTTAGTGGAATGGCACTAGATACGGTTGGTACTGGGAGAAAGAGTACGTTGATCACGTCCAAAAATCTCTTGCAAAGGCGACTGAGGCGACTGATGAGAATGCACTTGTGTATGATGAGGAAGTGAACCAGCTGAAGAATGATCTGTCTGTTTTAGTTGGAATTGGTCGTGAAATCCTTATTCTGCTAAAGTGCATTGTAGGCTTAGTTTGTTTAGTGCTATTTGGGATTGTCTACATTGTATCAAGGCTTTAATAAATTAATGTTCGAGAGTGAAACAGCTGTGTGGTGTAGGATATTAATTAATCATGTTGATTGATGTATATTTTGGATCTTTTAATTAACTACTAATCATGCATGTTGTATAATATGGGTTATTAAAAGTTTTTGATATGGTGTACGTCATGTAATGCAGATGAACCGGTAATGGATGTACAACGTTGACCGCCGCTCCCCAGAGTTCATTAGGGGCATGCATGATTTCTTAAATGTGGTCAAGGCAAACACGCAAAATGGTTTCATGTGATGCCCATGTGTTCTATGTAAGAATGTGAAGGATTATGGTTCCTCAAGGACCCTTTACAAACACCTGTATACATCGAGTTTCATGCCAAACTATATTTGTTGGACTAAGCATGGAGAAAGTGGGGTTATAATGGAAGAAGATGAAGAAGAAGAAGGGGATGATGACAACATTATTCATGGGTTTGCTGAATACGGTGCCTTTGATGATACTGCAATGGGGGAAGCTAAAGAAGAGGTAGCGGCAGAAGATGAGCCCGCTAATGATCTTAGTCAGGCCATCCGTGATGCATAGAGAGAATGCGAAAGTGAAAAGGAGACAATCAAGTTCGAGCGCATGCTAGAGGATCACAAGAAATTGCTATACCCGACTTGCGAAGAGGGGCAGAAAAAGTTGGGTACCACACTGGAATTGCTGTAATGGAAGGCAAAGAATGGTGTATCCAATGAAGGATTTGGGGAGTTACTGAATATCACAAAGAAGATGCTTCCGAAGAATAGCGAATTGCCCGCCACTACATACGAAGCAAAACAGGTTGTCTGCCCTCTAGGATGAGAAATCCAGAAGATACATGCATGTCCTAATGACTGCATCCTCTACTGAGGCAAGGAGTATAAGAATTTGGATGCATGTCCGGTATGCCATGCATCACGGTATAAGATTAGGCGAGATGACCCTAGTGATGTTGAGGGCGACGGACAACGTCCTAGGAAGAGAATCCCTGCCAAGGTGATGTGGTATGCTCCTATAATACCACGCTTGAAACGTTTGTTAAGAAATAAAGAGCATGCAAAGCTGTTGCGATGGCACAAAGAAGACCGTAAGGTAGACTTATGTTGAGATACCCCGCTGATGGGTCCTAGTGAAGAGCAATCGACAGAGAATTCCTAGAGTTTGCAGATGACGCAAGAAACTTAAGGTTTGCTTTAATTACGGATGGCATG